AACTACATCAAGCAACAGAGATGACCTTTATGGAGAATTCTAAACCACGTTTACATACATTTCCCCTCAAGTGATGTCACAGAACTACCATAAACAGCATGCACTGAGTCCATCACTCATAAACAACAGAGGTTGCCATATGAAGATTTTTCTTAAGTGAGGCGTTTGTACACGCAATACTAATAACGGAACACCCCGTCTACAGCTATCGTTATAAACTTCTGAAAAACCATTCTCACCAAGTACAGTAACAAAAGATGAAGCGCTGTCCGATCCCAATGGATTACTGGCTTTGCACGTGAACTCTCCTCCTTTCCGATGAGATATACTTAGTGTAAATAGTGTCCCTGTGTCCTCTTCCACATTAAGCATCATACCAGGCTCTACAGGGACACCCTCTCGATACCACTGAATAGAAGGTTTGGGAAATCCAGTGACAGGACAACTGATTTCCAGTCCTGAGCTGGCCAGTGTGGTCAGATTGGTTCCAATTGTTATTGCGAAGAAGTCGATTCTCAGATGAACCCTGCTGTCACGTGATCCGTTGATATTAGGAGCTGAACCAGCTAGTCAATGAAATCAAAACGACGTCAATTAAAATGTTGTTAACCCTAATAACAATCTCAGCTTCTAAATAGCTTAGGAGTGGTTAGCAAAATGGTTCTCGGATAGTGAACTTAGAGAGCTGTAGAGTCGAAAGGGGCACATTAATTTACCCACTACGAGCCTACCCCCCCAAAATAAAACTTTCTGTATAACGTTATTGTTCATATGTGGAGATGTGGAATGCAGATGTTAAGTACGGATGAATACTATGTGGGCTAATGACGATCCCGCGAAATTAGCTACTCCGCAAACGCTTTGAATCGGAAGTAGTCAATGACATTTGTACCACCTTTGTCACTAGGGTTTCCTCTGTGATCGAACTCTTAATCAGTGAATTAAATACCACCGCTGGTGACTAGTCCCAAGTCGTTTCTTACAAGAAAAACGTACAGACTGGGGATGATACAGACACTGCCAGCGGACTCACGCAAGCTAACAATGAGAGTTTGTATTTTAACAGCAAAACAACGTAATGCATAATTACCCAGGATTTTAAGTTGTGATGTCGCTTTGACTTCTCCAGCACTGTTTCTAGCAATACAGCTGTAGTTTCCGTTATCGCCATGACTGGTGCTGTCTATAGTGTAGAACTTGCCGCCCCTTTGCACTTCCACTCCATCTCTTTCCCACGTGACCTGAGGGGCTGGAATTCCGCTGACTTCGCAAACCATACTGACTCTGTTACTAGCTAGAGTTGTTACTAGACCTCCGACGGGCACTGATATGTTCTCGATCTTGAGCACTTCAACGTCATCTTTATTAGTTATTATTTTGGGAAGCTGAATGGCTGAAATAGGAAAACGGAGAGAGACGGCCAGACATAAGAGGTGGTTACGGACTAAGCCACTTTGTTCGTGATGACGCAATACTAGTTCGAGTCATCGCGCAACGTTTCTGTTCACTGCTCCATGACGCATATTTTCAATCAGAATTAGGCGAGAAAAAGATCACAAGATGGTAAACGGTTTATTCGTTAGTCTCATGCAACTGTAGATGTCTCCTTTGATTTCGGATAACCCCAAATAATTTTTTTGTAGAAATGAATGATCTCACAAGTCCTTCAATAGAAGAATGTAAGTTAACAGACCCTCATAAGCTCAGTTACCATAAAAATCGATGAAAGATGAACTAAATTAGAAGAAAAAGAACAACGCTCCCAAATGTTTACATTTCGTTAAATGCCTCTGTGTAAGGTAACACCTACCTATTACTAACAGGTTTGTACCCTGCGAATCGAACGAACCCACAGGACTTGTTGCCGTACACGTATACCAACCAGTGTCATTAGAGTCTACAGATGATAGGCTTAAAATGGATCCTTCCGCTTCCAACAGAACACTATCTTTAGTCCATTCAACGGATGGAGTTGGAAAACCTCTGACACCACAAGATATTGACACATTGTTCCCACTGATTGTGAGAACTCTGCTTCCAATAACAGCCTCTATTGATTTCGGCTCAAGAACTTGTACATCTTCAATTCCTTTCCGAATGATTTCTGGCGGTGTAGGAACTGAACGAAAACAGAAAAAAAAACGACTTAGACCATGATTGCATAAGATTTTTCCACCAGCAGGATGTGAAATTGTACTTGCTTACCTGCAACGGTTACGTTTGAAGACACTGAAGCTCTTCCTGCGGTATTTTCTGCGGTGCATGTATAGTTTCCACTGTCAGAAGTTTCCATTTCAACTAGGACGAGAGTTCCGTTTTGAACACTCATCCGACCATCTGAAGGAAGAGTCTCGTTTCCTCTGGTCCAAGCAATCTTAGGAACAGGAACACCACTTGCCTCACAATGAATTGACAACTTAGTATCGATTATGGTGAGAAGGTTTTGTCCAATGGTAATGTTCACTAAATCTTGACTAAATGACGTTACATCTCCAAGTGAAGACGCAATGTGTGGTCGCACTGGGTCTGACAAAAATTGTATGGATATCAAACTGTTAGTTGTAAATCTAAGTATGTCTAATTATGATAACAATGGATTGCAAGTTACTACTAACTGAATTACTTGTGGGAAAGGGAGTTACTTTGTGTAAGTGTAAAATCACTTCCAGTTGGGTTATTTATTGGAAAGGAGTTCTAGGGAAAGTTATCAATATCCGGCAAACTTGTCAGTCGCGAGTTAATCTCATCATGATCTCCTTTTGCAACTAAAAACTATGGCAGAATTTCTGATATAACTTGAGTGAGTTCATCTGAACGGAAAAAACAGGTTTTTTTTTTCTTACGCCAGTCCTGCCCGAAAAGTCTTTTAGATTTAGTTAGCTTGCTAAGTTTTTTCTTTAAAAATGATTTCACAGCTCGGAGAACCGGCAAATTCTACTCTGGGTACAATAAAATTAGCAATGGTACAATAAAATAAAAATGGTACAATAAATTACCAATGAGAGTAACTTGAGAAGACACCTCATCCATTCCAAACACACTTTGAACACGGCAAGTGTACTTTGCACTATCCACCACCATTGCTACTTCAATAACCAGAGAATTATTATCGGCAATGAATGTTACTCTATCCTGTTCAAAAATGTGAATTCCGTCCTTATGCCAGGTAACAGATGGTGTTGGTACGCCACTAACTGGACACCTGATGGTGATGGTAGTGTTTGAAGCTGCTGTCACGTTATCACCAACGTTCATAGTCACTGGACTGCCATCGCCAACAGGAATCTTAACTCCAATCTTGCGGACATCGATCGCGGGTTTAACGGGCTCTGTGTGATTTAATAATAGCCCGATTACTACAAATTTGCGTCAGTCTTTCAAGCGACAGCAAAATATGTGATACTAGAAACCCTATCGGTTAGAGAGGATCTACAGGTTTCGTGCCTTGGACATTCCTTTCGCGTTGTCTTCTTGAGCATATATACAATAAACACTATACCTGCTATTTTACTTTCGCACAGGGTTCTCTCTACACAGCTATATAAGTTTGTGCGGACGAATGCATAACGTACAAAAATGCTGCTGGTAACCTGCGATAGATTAGCATCTCATTCTGGGGGATCCCACGCTACGTCATTCTGTGCCGATTGTTTCCGGGACAAATTTGACGGCTTGCCATGCAGATTATAACACGATGCACTAAACATAACAAGAGGTATTGTAACAACACGAGTAGGCGTCAAAGTAAAGGTACCATACAGGAAGACATAATGAACTTCAATATTCTACAAGATATTAACTTTACACAAGGAGAGATTGTACCTGAACAGGTAATACAAAATCATCAAAGTACCCTTACCAACAATCTTCACCGCGCTTGATACCCTGTCTTTACCAGCAACACTATCTGCAGTGCACGTGTATTGAGCGCTGTCTTCTTCACTAGCGTCACTGATCAGCAATGAACCATCATCTTGAACTGTGTACCTGCCATCACTGGGGATTTGTTCACCATCTTTTGTCCAGGTGACAGTTGGTGTTGGTACACCGCTGGTGAGACACTGAATGGTAATGATTGTATTGACAAGTGCTGTTAGGTTATCGGCAATGGTCAAAGTGATGGGACTTTGATCTTGAGCTTCTATCGTCCTTGGTTTCTCAGGAATCTTTATTTTAGGCTTAGAAGGTCCTGGGAAGGCCATAAAAAAACACAACTTTTGTGAGACCCATTGTACGGACAATGCACTACTCGTCATAGAGCAGGATAGGAATGGGGCTTATCACCCCAGTTTTGAAACCCTTTAGCGATGAGTTGTGAGGAGGCAGAGAATTCGTTAAAGATACGTTAGACATTTTGGAATTTACACATTAATTATCGGACCTGTAACTCTTCGTTCTTATACTAAACGAATGGCGGTTAATCTGCCACAATAACCTCAAAAAACCTGGATTAAACATTTACCCATTACTCTGACTATGGAGGATAAGCTGTCTTTCCCGAAATTGTTTTCAACCGTGCAAGAATATTTTCCACTGTCCACTCCTTTAGCTACTCGGATGATCAATTGCGGTTTCTCTTTTATGAGGGAAATTTTCCCTCCAGCAGTTACTGGGACTCCATCTTTCTGCCAGGTGACAACTGGTGCTGGTACTCCACTCACTGGACATCTGATGGAGATGGTAGTGTTTGAAGCTGCCGTCACGTTATCACCAATGTTCATAGTCACTGGGCTGCCATCACCAACGGGAATCTCTCGTCCAGGTTCGGGCAGCTTTATCATTGGTTTAATTGGCTCTATGGCAAACAAGTGTATTTAGTTGGAGTTAATGCACAGCCATATTTACAAAGTTATTCAAAAGCACCTTGGCTTAGCTATCAAAATGAAAACCATGGAAAACCTTACCAACAATGTTAACTGTGCTTGAAGCACTGCCATTGCCAGCAACATTGCCAGCGGTGCAAGTGTATCGAGCACTCTCTTGTTCACCAGCTTCATCTACCAGCAGTGAATCATCATCCTGAACTGTGTACCTGCCATCATTGGGGATTTCTTGGTTATCTTTTGTCCACGTGACAGTTGGTGTTGGTACACCGCTGGTGGGACACTGAATGGTAATGCTTGTATTGGTAAGTGCTGTCACGTTATTGCCAATGGTCAAGGTGATTGGACTTCGATTTTGAGCTTCTATCATCTTTGGCTGTTCAGCTATTTTAACGACAGGCTTCTTATGCGCTGTAAAGAGAATGGACGATCGAATGAATGCATACTGTTTCAAATGTATGGTACGGATAAATAGCATCACATATTCATCAACAACTGGACAAACACATAATCAGACATTAAATGAGCATTTGTATAACTTGTGGCCAAGAGGAGTAAGAGGACTATAAATAACAACAGGGAAGGCTAATAACAAATGCCAGAAATGTCTTAATCAGCATTTACCGATTATCTCCACAACGGATGTAATGTCCTCTTTTCCGAAGTTGCTTTGAATGCTACAAGTGTATTCTGCACTGTCGTCTACATCTCCATTTTTAATGACCAAAGAATTGTCAGTTGTGATAAAAAGAATCTCTTCTTGGGTAACACGTGCTCCATCCTTTTTCCACGTTACATCTGGTGTTGGTACCCCACTAACTGGACACCTGATGGTGATGGTAGTGTTTGAAGCTGCTGTCACGTTATCACCAACGTTCATCGTCACCGGTCTTCCATCACCAACGGGAATCTTTCGTCCAGGTTTAGGAACCTCGATGACTGGTTTGACAGGGTCTGCAACAAGTAATCACAAATGACGACTTTGATAAATTTAACAACATTTCGGTGCTGTAAAGGAGCAATTTTACATTGCATAGCTTAGTGAGAAAGACGTCTAGGGTGGATGTTACAACGCAAACCTGCAGTGCATTATTGAGAAGCGAGCCTCTTTTCGAATATGAATCGATGCGACAAATAAACAGGTAAACAGGTCAGGTAAACAAGTTATTTTTTAGCCAACATGACCAGAATAACCTTTTCCCTCGGAACAAAGTGGCACCTGGTTGCAAGGTTTTAGAACTTACCAACTATCTTCACTGTACTCGACGCACTGTCTTTACCAGCAACACTCTCAGCATTGCACGTGTATCGAGCGCTGTCTTCTGCAAAAGCTTCGTTGATCAGTAAAGAACCATCATCCTGAACTGTGTACTTGCCATCATTGGTGATTTCTTCACCATCTTTTGTCCAGGTGACACTTGGTGTTGGTACACCGCTGGAGGGACACTGAATGGTAATGCTTGTATTGGTAAGTGCTGTCACGTTATCAGCAATCGTCATGCTGATGGGACTGCGGTCTTGAGCGTCAATTGTCTTTGGTGTACCATAAATATTTACTACAGGCCGGGAGGGTTCTACGAGGAACAGGTCCTTGTTAATCAAACATCCATGTTTTCGTTATTTACGTGACACAAGTTCATCATAAAACCTTATCTCATGATAGGTTTTAGAGCACTCCAACAAAACAATCAAGAAGTTACAAAGGAAGACAAATTGCGTACGTTGAAGATTTAGACAAGAATGAACTATGCTTGAGTTAGCACTAACCTAATATCGTGACGTGAGAAGAAATATCATCTTTCCCAAACTTGTTTTGAACACTGCAAGTGTACTTGGCGCTGTCCTCTACTTCCGGTCTTTTAATAACCAGAGTGCTGTCATCAGTAATAGAAAACCTATCTCCTTCAGTCATTTGGACGTCATCCATCTTCCAAGAGACAGAGGGCTTCGGTACCCCACTTACTGGACATCTGATGGTGATAGTAGTGTTTGAAGCTGCGGTCACGTTATCACCAATGTTCATAATCACTGGACTGCCATCACCGACGGGAATATTTCGTTTGGTATCAGGGACCTCGATCATTGGTTTAGTTGGCTCTGTGTGTATAACACAGACTATGAGTAAAATTTTTAAACAAAAAAAATATTTAGCATTCAGCTAACACAGCCATGAGCTTTACTTGTATATGGGTATAATAAACTAAAAGCATTAGTCATCTCTTTTTTATACCTGAATTTTAAATTTTTCCAATTAAACTCACTTACCAACAACAGTTAAACAAACTTACCAACAACCTGCACCGTGCTTGATGCGCTGTCTTTACCAGCAACGTTGGCTGCTGTACACGTATATTGAGCACTGTCTTTTTTATCAGTTCCTCTGATCAACAATGAGCCATCATCATGGAAAGTGTACCTGTCCCCATCAAAGATTTCTAGGCCACCTTTTGTCCACGTAACGGTTGGTGTTGGTACACCGCTGGTGGGACACTGAATGGTAATGCTTGTATTGGTAAGTGCTGTTATGTTATCACCAATAGTCAGGGTAACGGGACTTCGGTCTTGAGCTCGTATCGCCTTTGGAATGGCAGAGATGTCAAACTTCGGTTTAGAGGGACCTTTGAATAGAAATAAGCAATGTCAAACAACTAATTTCTATCGCTGAGACAGTGTCTGAATGTAGTACTAACCTATTATTTTGATGATAGAAGACAGCTTATCCAGTCCGGCCACATTTCCAACTCTGCAAGTGTACTTTGCGCTGTCTTCTACCTCCGCTCCTCTTATTAGTAAAGAATCTCCTCTGACAGAAAGCTTTTCTTCGTTTATAAGTAGGACTCCATCTTTCTCCCATATAACAACTGGTGTTGGTATTCCACTAACTGGACACCTGATGATGATAGTAGTGTTCGAAGCTGCTGTCGCGTTATCGCCAACGTTCATCGTTACTGGACTGCCATCACCAATGGGAATCTCTCGCCCGGTTTCAGGGACTTCTATATTTGGTTTGGTTGGCCCTGTGTATATAAAGAAATTTTAAGGACGCTTTCTGTCATTCTGTATAAGAGTTTGCATTAACTATAGTAAACTTATTTATGCTGATCTTTCAAAGACTTCTCCATACTGGTCTTCCTGCACCAAATAACAGATAGAAAGCACCCTTAACTCATGGAGAGCACAATATAGTGTTTTCAGAGGTTTTCACCCTACTTACTAAATATCTGCACCGAGCTAGATGCGCTGTGTTTGCCAGCGACACTGTCTGCAGTGCACGTGTATCGAGCACTGTCTTCTTCAAAAGCTTCATTGATCAGCAATGAGCCATCATCCTGAACTGTGTACATGCCACCACTAGCGATGCTCTGGCCATCTTTCGTCCACGTGACAGTTGGTCTTGGTACACCGCTGGTGGGACACTGAATGGTAATGCTTGTTTCGGTAAGTGCTGTCACGTTATAGCCAATGCTCAAGGTAATGGGACTTCGGTCTTTCGCTTCGATCGTCCTTGGGGTCCCAAAAATATTGATCGCAGGCTTGGATGGTTCTATAAAATGAAAAGTTTTTTGTCCATGTTCAGTAACATTTTCGACGTTAACATTATACGCACAGTTCCAAACGTTCTTGCGACTCATTTCACTGATCATATTTTACCCTTGTAAGATTATTCTCAACTCCGTTTTGGCTTCAAGCAGCTCAAACGCATCACCCGGCCAATAAGTTCATTTCAGTTCGATCCATAAAGGGAGTCATGTCTCACAATCCTTTGACCAGCATGAGACACTAAACTGAGGAAGAATTAGCACTAACACATAATCCTCACAATGAAGGAAGAGTCATCCTTTCCAAACGCGCTTTTAACACTGCATGTATACTTTGCGTTCTCTTTTACTTCCGCTCCTTTGATAACCAGACTGTTGTCTACTGTGATAGAAAACCTATCTCCCTCGATTATTTGCACTTCATCTTTCAGCCAAGTAACAGCTGGTGTTGGAACTCCATTCACTAGACAACTTATGGTAATGGTAGTGTTTGAAGCTATGATAAGTAAAGCATCTGTAGCTAATGCAACTACACAGATAGAGTCACAAAATATTTTTAACGCTATTCGATTCACTTACCAACAATCTGCACCTTGCTTGATGCGCTGTCTTTACCAATAATACTATCTGCGATGCACGTGTATCGAGCACTGTCTTCATCAACAGCTTCACTGATCAGCAATGAACCATCATCCTGAACTGTATACCTGCTATCATTGGGGATTTGTTCACCATCTTTTGTCCAGGTGACAGTTGGAGTTGGTACACCGCTGGTAGGACACTGGATGGTAATGCTTGTGTTGGTAAGTGCTGTAACATCGTCACCAATGCTCAACGTGATTGGACTACGATCTTGAGCTTTGATTATTGTTGGTTTATCGGGAACCTTGATGACAGGCCCAGAGGGTTCTAAAACATAAAACTATTGCCGTCAATCAAATGATCAATTCGATGTGTAGGTGGTCTCAAACTGAACAAGAACCCAATGGCCTTGCTTTGATGGTAATAAGCTTTAAACTGCCTAAGCTAGGAGTCTGTTCGGACACCATAACCATGATATCCTGCTAAGACAAAACACGTCGTGGCGTTTATAGGACAATTTGGACAATTTGGGAAAATGTCTCGCTATATTGAACCTTCTAAATTTGCGTGAATTGGTGTATACACCGTGAATCGGTCGGTATACTAAAACTGACCACGAAAGACCATTTACCAATTATCCTGACGATAGAAGAAACCTCGTCCTTTCCAAACGCGTTTTGAATGGTACATGTGTACTTGGCATCGTCTTCTAAATCAGCTTCTTTAATAACTAAGGTGTTGTCAGCCAGGATGGTCAGCTTGTCTCCTTCACCAATTTCCACGCCATCTTTCTGCCAAATAACGGATGGGGTTGGCACTCCACTAACTGGACACCTGATGGTGATGGTAGTGTTTGAAGCTGCTGTGACGTTATCACCAATGTTCATAGTCACTGGACTGCCATCACCAATGAGAATCTCTTTTCCGTATTCAGGAACGTTGATCATTGGCTTGGTGGGTTCTTTAAGTTTGAAGAAATTGTCAGTAAGGTTATGACACAGATTGAAAACACAGCAAGCAAGTACAATTGAAGTGAACAATAAATATATATGGTTTATCGAACAAGCGTGAGGTCAAGATGGCTGGATATTGGCCGGTCCATTAACTGCCAAAAGAGGAATGAGACCAATATCCAGCCATCTTGACCGAATAAGCTTGGTTAATAAAGCATTAAAGCACTTAAATATGGGTTATTGACCAAGTGTGAGGTCAAGATGGCTGGATATTGGCCAAGTTCTTTTTTTGCGTGTTTATGGACCGAGACGGAGTCGACGCCCATAAACTCGCGGAAAAAGAACGAGGCCAATATCCAGCCATCTTGACCGAACAAGCTTGGTCAATAAAGGATTTATTATATGGCTTTCGGGGAAATTTTTCTTGCAAGACAGGCGGGTAGTCCCGAGCGAGCAAGATAGCTTCATCTTGCCCGCTCGGGTAGCCAATCACAGCGCAGGATTTGATTCATCTTGCCCGCTCACGGAGCTGGCCATATAATAAATATAATAAGTAATAATAAATAATCCCGTGAGCGGACAAGAAAGCGCCATCTTGCCCTCTCGAGTAGCCAATCACAGCGCAGGATTTGGCTCATCTTGCCCGCTCACGGAGTTAGCCATATAATAGAGAAAAAAACACATTACAAACAAATTTTAAGTTCATTTTATTTAAGTGATTGTTTTACTACTTACCAATAATCTGTACCGTGGTTGATGCGCTGTCTTCACCAGTAACACTGTCTACAGTGCACGTGTATCGAGCGCTGTCTTCTTCATCAGTTTCACTGATCAACAATGAACCATCATCTTGAACTGTGTACCTGTCATCGTCGGTGACTTCTTGGTTATCTTTTGTCCACGTGACAGTTGGTGTTGGTACACCGCTGGAGGGACACTGAATGGTAATGCTTGTATTGGTAAGTGCTGTTACGTTATCGGCAATGAACAAGGCGATGGGACTTTGGTCTTCAGCTTCTATTGTCTTTGGTGTTCCAGGAATGTTAATAACAGGCTTGGAGGGGTCTATGAAATGAAAGGGTCCTCGTTAATCAAAACGTCGTTGCCTATGGTCACTTGACTCAGATTTTCTTTCCATTGTTAAATTATGTGAATCTTCCAAGAAGAGTTTTCAAAACACTTTCAAAATGGACTGAAAAAAATTCAATTTAGAAAAGTAATACGATTTTAGCACTTACAATTCCGCGTCTGTTCTCAGTCTGTCTGCAAGATCCGCAAACTACAAAGGCTTTTACACAAATTTTCTATACACAAACCTATTATCCTAACAATGGAAGAAGCTTCATCCTTTCCAAATGAGTTTTGAACACTGCAAGTGTACTTTGCACTGTCGCCCAGTTCCACTTGTTCCATAACTAGAGTGTTGTTTTCCGCGAAATTTATCCTTCCTCCATCAACAACTGGCACACCGTCTTTGTTCCAAGTGACAACTGGTGTCGGTACTCCACTCACTGGACACGTGATGGTGATGGTGGTGTTTGAAGCTGCTGTCACATTATCACCAATGTTCATTGTCACTACACTGTCATCACCAAAAGGAATATCACGCCCAGGTTCAGGAACCTCGATCACCGGTTTAACAGGTTCTATTTGGGTAGAAATAAAGTCTCTAGTATTCCGGGTCATTGATGTAAAAAATCAAGCACGAAAGACCGTGTTTGACCACATTTCCAAACACCGAGAAGAGAATTGAAAATACGACGCGCAGGGGAGTATTTTTGAAGAACATCGAGGTGTTTGGAAATGTGGTCAAACACTGTCTTGAGTGTTTGATACATCTTCTTCATCGAAACTACAACTGAGGGGAAAACGGAAAAATAAAATCGTAAAAATCTATGTTAATTAAGATCAGATATCCTTACATCGTCACGGTCATGATTTCCTTTCTTTAAACTTGATGAATTGTTAATGAATTTGAGAATGGTAAATCAACAGTGAATAAAAAGAGTGTGGATCTAACTATTGCCAGCATAATCTGTCTGTCTCGTTACATATTAAGAAACGTCTTAAACTAGATATCTCCTACTTATCCTGGAAATCATGTCTTCATTCTAACAACAAAAGTGTTTAAATTACTTCACGTTACAAGATCTTAAAGATTAACGTTTCGGTGTTTGCAAAACGATGGCTTACTTTTAATTTTCACTGTGCTGGATGCACTGTCTTCACCCGCAACGCTAATGACAGTACATGTGTACTTAGCACTGTCATCTTCTCTTGAACCAGCGATCAACAGTGAACCATCACTCTTAGTAGTGTATCGGCCACCTGTGGGGATGCTCTGGTCATCTTTCTTCCACGTAACCGATGGTGTTGGTACGCCGCTGGTAGGACACTCAATGGTAACTCTTGTATTGGTAAGTGCTGTCACGTTATCACCAATGGCCAAAGTGATGGGATTTCGGTCTTTAGCTTCTATTGTCGTTGGCTTACCAGGTATTTTTATGACAGGCTTGGAGGGTTCTGGAGATGAAAGGGTCGTCTTTAATGAAATGATCATTATCGAGATTTAAGTGACTTTACGTCTACCGTTATTTTCAAGGAAACTCAAAATAGTAAAGACAAGTAATTTAGTATTATTCCCACACAATCCTACCTCTTGCCTAAATCAATCTACTAGTTCTAGGTCTACTTACCTATTATCTTTACAATGGAGGAAGTGTCATCCTTCCCAAACGAATTTTCAACGATGCATGTGTACTTTGCACTGTCTTGTACCTCTGCTTCTTTGATCACCAGGGTGTTGTCATCGGCTATATCAATCTTCTCTCTCAAAAAAACTTGCACTCCATCTTTCTCCCAAGTAACAACTGGTGTTGGTACTCCACTAACTGGACACCTGATAGTGATGGTGGTGTTTGAAGCTGCCGTCACGTTATCACCAATTGTCATAGTTACTGGGCTGCCATCACCCACGGGAATCTCTCGTCCAGTCTCAGGAATCTCGATCTCTGGCTTTAAGGGCTCTATGGGAATGAACATGAAGTCACAAATACTCCGTGTCTATTCAACTACCTAAGTACGATACTGAAGTCTAAGACAACTAGAAATTAAAGGAGATACCAGTTTCTAGTTTTTTGATGGAGTTGTCACAACAGAAGGGTAAACTACATCAAGCTGAACGATAATCTAAACAATTTCAGTTTCATTCTGTGCGTGGATTGCGTACCTACAATTTGTACAGTGCTGGATGCACTATCTTTACCAGCAACGCTAGTGACAGTGCATGTGTACTTAGCGCTGTCGCCTTCTCTTGAGTCAGCAATCAGCAATGAACCATCGTCCTCAACGGTGTGTCGATCACCACTGGGAATCCGTAGGTCGTTTTTTGTCCACGTCACAGTTGGTGTTGGTACACCGCTGGTGTTGCACTGAATGGTAATGATTGTGCGAGTGAGCGCTGTCACGGTTTCGCCAATGTTAAGCGTGGCGGGACTTCTGTCTTGAGCCTCTATAGTACGTGGCTGTTCTGGAATGTCGATCATAGGCTTGGAAAGCTCTGGAAAGCAAATGGTTGACTGATGTCAAGAAGCGTTTTATGACATGGGCGTGACATAAACTATAATCATTTCCCAGCTATTATCGGTTACGGGGAGAAATGGGGTGAGTTAAATACTATTTTCAAAAGGAACTTTTCTACTTTGAAACATTCAGACTTGTTACGTATGCACATGTTTATACACAAGAAGCAACACTCACCTATTATTCTGACCGTGGAAGAGGCTTCATCTTTCCCAAACTCGTTTTGAGTAATACAACTGTACTTGGCACTGTGTTTTATTTCCGCGTCATTAATAACCAGACTGTTGTCATCCGTCATGGAAAACTTGTCTCCTCCAATAATTTGTACACCATCTTTCTGCCAGGTAACAGCTGGTGTTGGTACTCCACTCACTGGACATCTAATGGTGATGGTAGTGTTTGAAGCTGCTGTCACATTATCACCAACGTTCATAGTCACGGCATCCACATCAGTAAGAGGAATATCTTGGCCATATTTGGGAACCTCAATAACAGGTTTTACGGGTTCTGTGTAAATAGAAAAGAACTTAAATGTGCGTCGTATAATTCCCAACAAACGTTCTGCCAGATTTTTAAATCCAGCCGAACCTAAAGGTTACAGTATTGAGCTTTTATTGATTTTCAATGGAAGATTTAACTCACCAACAATCTGCACCGCGCTTGATGCACTGTCTTGGCCATTAATACTGTCGGCATTACACGTGAATCGAGCGCTGTCTTCTACCTTGGCCTCATCTATCACCAATGATCCATCAATTTGAATCGTGTACCTGCCATCATCACGGAGTATTCGTCCATCTTTTGTCCACGTGATTGTAGGTCTTGGTACACCGCTGGTTGGGCACTCAATGGTAACGTTTGTCTTGGTAAGGGCTGTTAGTTCATCGCCAATGTTCAGTGTTAAGGGACTTCGGTTTTGAGCCTCAATGGATTTTGGTACCTCGTGAATGTTAATTCGTGGCTTGGAAGGCTCTGTCAAGTAAAGCGAGCCAGCATGCGGTGATTACTCTTAGTTATGTATATAATTGTGTTCAACTTTAATTTCCGTTTTGCAAAAGTATGTTTGCAGAAACAAGGTATATTTTGCCATAAAACTACCTTTGAAGTTTTGTGGAAAGTAGATTGAGTTAATTGCATTTATGACGACTAGCGAAAGGAAATGAATATCTCCTCTACACATTTTGTTTGAAACCAGACTTGAAATGCACATAAGTAAAACTGTTTACAGTGATAGAACTTGGGTTGTGGCAGAGATTTAATTTACGGTGAAAAACATTTCTTACCAAGTATTGTAAAGTAGCTTGATTTAGAATCAGACCCTAAAATGTTGGCAGCAGTACATGAGACAGTTTGTAAATTGACTCGGCTTGGGTTGTCTACAGTTAAGGAGGTCTTGTTGACGTTGTTAACCACTTGCTTTTTATTCTGCAGCCAAGTTATGGTAGGCTCAGGTACGGCGTCCACTTCACATGTGATAGTCACACTCGATCCTGCTACCAAAGTAAGGTTGCTACCAGCATCCAGCTTGATGCCCTTAACCTTGTCATCGACAACAACGCCTTGGCTTTTCGAATTGATGAATGGCTTTCTTCCAGCTTAAACGCAAATAATAGATGTTTAATTAATAGATCTTTATGGCAATTAATGACGGAACTTACAGCCGAAGCAGAAGCAAACGTAAAATCCAGGTTGATGGAGTTTTGCCTAGTTCTTACTTATCGTCTTTCCCTACATGCGGTCATTTTGCTTCAGGTAATGCGACTGTTTGTCCCAGCGACTTAACAAAGAATACATCCTTTTTGGGGAACGTTTTGCTCTGTTTTGCTCAAGGACGTTGCACCATGTTTTTTGTTGAAAGATAGCAAAAAAACAACAACTTGGAAATACCAAAACGGCCTTCCAAACCAGTCTTTCACTGATTGGCGTTGAAACTTGTCGGAGCCAAAACAATCCTACTACCATTTTCTGAGATTGAAGAGAAAAAAACTCTCATTGTTCCAGAACAAAATTTTCTACATGCCTCCAAAACATGTACCTACCTCTAACGGAAAGCAGTGTTGACTGACTAACAAAACCTAAAAAGTTCTCAGCTGTACAGGTGTAGCGTCCTGTATCCTCCCGTGCGATGTTCCTTAGGTGCAGTAGGTTGGTTTGCAAACTGTTCAGTTTAACGCCATCTTTGCTCCAGGACAGTGACGGAGAAGGGACCCCTTCGGCTGTACATTCTATTGTCACGTTGCTCTTATCAAGAATCGTCAGCTTTTCCCCAATTGTTATGTTAATTGAGAGGCGTTGAAGAATCTCCTGAGCCTTTGTTGAGAACAAAATTCGTGGCTTCACAGATTCTGTTCAAGGTAATAGCAAATGCTCTATAAACAATTATTGCGAACAAAAGAATGTATTTTACGATGGCACTAAGAAGTGAAATTATGGATAATTCGCAGAGAGAAACAGTATAGAAATGCATCAAAAGAAAAGTAATTTTCAGTCTTTTTGCAGGGTGAAAATGAAATTAAAGGGCAAAATTTGATTACCGAGAGTTATTAGTTAAATTTTCGACGATTTCTCAACTCTCGATTGCCCAGTTTCAGCCCATTTCAGCTAAGTATTTATGGCAAACGAGACCCAGTAATCTGAAAGTAAAACCAGAAAAATCATAATTGTGCACATGGTAAGATAGAAGAACAAGATAAGCAGACCTATATACACATCCTGACAATCCCGTTCATTTCTGGGATAGCATGAAAATCTATTTTAAGAGCCGGTGGAATTATTTAAATGTACAAAAGTGTGGATATTGGCGGAGGGTCTCACCGGCCTACATTTCATTACAATGCATTTTATTACATTAGTAGACCTCTCCCTGACCTCAAGCCAAATCACATCACTTTGATCACATCACATTATTTTTATGGTTGTTTAGCTTTGAAGTTAGTGTTGAGCAGTGGGAGGAAGCAAGTGAGATACCGCGTCATAGAGCTTCTGTAAGTTATTATTTATCACTGCTTACCGACGAACGTAATGTTCGAGACAACGGCTGCTTGTCCACCCGGGCTAGACGCCGTGCACATGTACTGATCCGAGTCAGAGACGCCAGATGACAGCAGACTTAATCTGCTTTCAGTCACAATCAAGCGCTCCGTATCTGATCCCGTGATAGAGGTGAAACCCTTCATCCAGCTCACCCTGGGCTCAGGAAATCCCGTGACATCACAGGTGATAGTGACAGGTGTTCCCGTTAACGTGGTCACGTGACTACCTATCTTTACGCTGACAGGTTGGCGAGTTGGGTCAAACACTTGTACTGAAATGTTTGACGAATCAATATTTGGAAATGTCGGCACTGTTGGAGCGGAATAAGAGGAGAACAAGTTACATATTTGTAAATAACATCAGTCGACACGTGTCACACGTCATACATCACATGCTAACATGTTACGAGCCAGATGTGTCACGCTATTTGCCACATATCATATGTCACAGGCTGCTTGTCACATGTCACACGTCAGACGTCAAACAACACATCTCTTTTACCCAGGGAATGCATTTTCGTTTTTCAGGTATGCTTCATCCTGGTTACTCATTCACATTTCGTTGGATAGATTACCTTGTAGAATTCGCTATTACGTGCTGTAACTTTGAAGTGCAAGATCCTGAGTGAACTTTTTACACTATCAGTATATTGTAAGTAGACAAGAAACACGAGTAATCAAACGGGTCAACTTAA